CAGTTCCCTCGCGGAAACACTGCGAGACTCGATCTCTAAATCAAAACTATAACGCTGTCTTCAGCGAAGTCCAACTGCCCTCAAACCAGGGTTGCCAGATGAAAATAGCAAAATAAGGCCAAACCTTCTTAAAAATAAGGCCAAAAGAGGCCAAATTTGACAAATTGGCTGAAAACCTCATTTGATATTAGAAAAAAGGCTATCCTTCATGAAAACGAGTCCCACTTGATAGGCATATGTTCAATGGTCTATTATTAAACTAAAATTTAAGTGAAAGTCATTTAAAATATCGTTGTTCTATTCAGGAGCTATTTCGTTTGACAGCTCATTATATATCATTTGAAATGTGCAATATCAAAAATTTATTTAAAAAATAGAATAAGTAATTGAAAATTGCTCTAAAAGTCATTAACGAAAATAAAGCCAAAAAAGGCCAAAAATGAAATTAAGGCCAAACAAAAATTCCTAAGGCCAAGAGTTTTGAAAAAAGGCCAAATTTCCATAATTTGGCCTGAAAAAGGCCAATATGGCAACCATGCCTCAAACCCAAAACCCCCGTTCTTTTTCGATTAAGGTCTCACCAATCGCACTCTGGCAATTATTTTTTCTTCACCACATCCGAAACTTCCCCGACGAGTTGGCGCCCTGTGCTTGTCTGTTTAGTGTCTCATTTCCGCTCTTTGTTTTTGGGGTTTTTTTCAGATTATGAATTGGCGGTTTTGTTACAATACCCTGAATATGATCCTAATGAATCTTTAAGTAGCTGGCCGGTTTGTGATTAATATTATTTGGTCTACCTAATATCGATCCTAGTCCATGACTCAAGGACTCGTGATAAAGGGCGAGTGTGGCATCTTCTGACGATAAAAGCGACCTGGAGCATCTGTGTATTACCTGAATGAGAATTTAAAAGTTAGTTGATGTATTTGAGCATAATTTAGTTTTACACCAGGGTTGCCATATTGGCCAAATTGGTTGCAAATTCTGGAAATTTGGCCTTTTTTCAAAGCCCTTGGCCTTGGGAATTTTCATTTGGCCTTATTTTTGATTATGTCTTTTAGAACGATTCTTAATATATAATTTAACTATTTATTAATATACTTTTAATATGACACTTTTCAAACGACCCACAATGAGATGTCAAAGTAGTTCCTCTACTATCAGAAAGGTTTCTGTCCCCTTTCTTCAGACTGTATTAGTCAGAATGCTTCTAGCGAAAGCTATGTTCGTCTCTGCACAGAATATAAAAACCACTTTCTCGGGTTTCATTTATTTATTTATTTTTCCTTTTCGTTTCTTTTCATGGTCGAATTCTTTTACGAAAAGTGCCACACAAAAGAGTAAAATATTTTAATACTACTAAGAACAGTTTTTTTTTTTGCAAAGTCGTGTATGTGTGCAGATGTTTTTTTTTTTTAATTCACTTAAATTTTGGTTTAATAAAAGAGTTTTATACACGTGTCAATCTAGTGGAATTTCTGTTCATGAAGGATAGTCTTTTTTTATAACAAATAAGGGAAAAATCAGTGCTTAAATCAAATTTTCAAATTTGGCCTTTTTTGGCCTTATTTTCAAGACGGTCTGGCCTTATTTTGCTACTATGATCTGTCAACCCTGTTTCACACACTGCGCAACAGCATCACTGATGAATACTATAATATGTGTTTCTTTGCGTCTTAGGACAACGGAAACAGCTGCATGAAATGAAGCATTTTTCGTTTTGAATATAAGATTTTACTACATAAAATGCCGGTTATTGGTGTTTAAAATTGAGCTGTGTTCGACCATATCGGTTAACTTTAAATACATCAGAATCATATTCAGATCTATTTAACTGGCTATAAAGTTACACTAAGTAATTTTTACGTTATTGTCAACTTGAGTTGTTACTATCGGTTAACTTTAAATACATCAGAATCATATTCAGGTCTATTTAACTGGCTATAAAGTTACACTAAGTAATTTTTACGTTATTGTCAACTTGAGTTGTTACTGTTTATAGCTGAGCTGAATCGAGTTCTCCAATAAGTCGCTGAAAATTTAGAAGGGGGCATTTTAAAAACTACATATGGGGTCAAGTAGCAGATACACAAAACTGACTGGAAGGAGTGGGGGGATTCGTCACGATTCATAACTATTTTTTCTTACAACAATTTAATCATCTTATCCCGATTTAATGAACACCATGAGTCTTGAAATCCTAAATATTCAATATCTAAACCT